TAGAAAGATACTAAAAGAAGCAGCTGAAAGAGAGAAGAGATTACAGCAAGAACGTGATGAACTTGAAGAGAGGGTTAGTATATTTCAATTCTTAGACTTACCTCTAGTAAAATCAAAAGTTCTAGGTTTTATTACTGCATTTCATATTAGCTTAGGTATATTAATTTTGAAAAATGTGTAATAAGAAATTGTACCAAACTCAGATATGTAAAGAGAAAGAAGAAATGACTCACATTATGTAATAAGGCTATGTTCATTCAAAATTGTGTTTCTAATCAAAACTTTCTTTGAAAAGTTCGCACAAGTAAAGAGGACAACAAAGATGTTAAAAAAAAAGCAAAATATAAACTATTGAAGAATGATTGAAGTACTTGTATTGATAAACTCATTTAATATTACATTTTAATTTAAGATTTATATAATTAACTATTAATGCAAATAAAACTGAAATTTTCATACTACATAGCTATAATATTATTGTAAGAAAAATAAACATTGTTTCAAGAAGGAAAACAGGTATTTCTATATCTTATAGAATAATAATTTCAGTAAAAAAAAAGAGTATCCAATTCTTCACTTTTCTGTTAATAAATCACATTCTATATATTTAATACATATAGTTATGCAATTACCATGTACTTCACATTCCTAAATTAGTTATATGTCATAGTTACAGTTCTCATTCAAAACATCCTAAATCATGATCATGATCATATGGGTGTTACTTTTTTCTACCAAGGTTTGATATTTCATGGACTAGTTGTATAGTTTCCTACTTTACCTTGTATATGTGAGACTGATTTACAAATGTCATTATTTACGTGTGATTTTTTGAATTTTATGACTGATCAACAGAGAGAGGGTGAAACTGAAACACCATTCTTCAAACAGATTCATTCCTCTCTTGAAAACACCAAGAGTTGTTGTCTGTTTTTTGCCCTTTTTAAGAGTTACTGCTACTGATTGTGTTATCCTCAGTACATATTTCCAAGTGCAGCTTATTTTCATTTTTCTTTTGTTTAAATACAGTTTCTTTAATTTACTTTTAAGTTTTTAACACAGCTTATTTTCTTCATTTATTTTACATTTCAACTTATTTTCAACCCAGTAATTCACCACCAGATGACCAGCTTTTCTTTACTTACAGAGACTAATGTTTTATTTTTAACATCAGTACCTGTCTGTTTTTTCTGTTTTATTTCAACTGCAACAATTCACCAAACTTATCTTTCCACATACTATGGCCCTCCTTAGTGGCTCTGTAGTAAGTCTAAGGGTTTATAATGTTACAAATTAGGTTTCAATATCCATGGTGGGCAGAGCACAGATAGCCCACCGTATAGCTTTCTGCTTAACAAGAAAAATACCACACATTAGGTCTTGAATCTCTAGTCATTGTGAAAATCAGTTAACTTGAATTACCACAAGTAATCAGATATTTGCATTTTATACTTTTAAAACAATGTGTCCTCTCCTGTACTTAGCCACTTTCCCCTTCTATTGATCCTCGTTGCAAAACATGCTCACACTTTCAGCCATGGGGGTGTTATAATGTGACGATCAATCCCACTATTCACTGTTAAAAGAGTAGTCCAAGAGTTGGAAGTGGGTGGTGTTGACTAGTTGCCTTCCATCTAGTCTATCACTGCTAAATTAGGGATGGCTAGTGTTTGGGAAACAATGGGTATGGTAAATATTCAAACTATACCTTAATATTCTCAATTTAATAGCTTGGCTGAGGAGATTGTTCAAACAAACTGTTAAGTGCATTATTTCTAAGTTGGAATACCCAAATTATACTATGTGTAATGGTGGCATAATGTGAAACAGATCACTAAACTATTGGTTGTTCTCCAGACATGTTAATGTTTGGTAACTATGCACCAAGATACCATGTTCATCTCACTCTGATGTAGGATTGTTGGAGCATCTGTGGAGTGGTTATGACCCACATTACTTTATGCTTACAAGGTTCCACATCAATAGAAGGGTTTGGTTTGTTTGGAATTTTGTGCAAAACTACACAAGGGATATCTGCTTTGCTTTCTGATCACTATGGGTCTCCTCTAGTGTTCTGATGTGTGTACTAACTCACTGAAACATGACATAAGTGATATTCAGTAAATGAACAAAGTTTGAATTGTTATTTAATCACATTATTTAGCCTTTTCTAGATTCTTATGAACCTTACTTGTTAAGGTTAATAAAATAAAAAAACTTTGTATTTCCCATTTCAATGAAATAGTGAGTCAAAATGTTAATGTTTCATCTGCAACAATATCCAAGAAAATTCAATCAGCTCTTGCAACTTATGGATCAAGATATGTATAAAAGGTTATAAAAAATATGAGAAATTATTCGAAAGTTATAAAAAAAGCACATAAAGTTTGTAATGCTAGGATATAGATAGGTGAGTATAATTTTTGGTATAGAGATATGTAAATAATGCATGTATTAGCTGGTATTCAGTAACAACTTTTTGTATTTCAGGTAAAAACATATGAAACTATTGAGTTTTGCCAGGATGATGATTTAGAAAGTGTACTTGTTCAAGCCAAATTCAGAATTCAAACATTAGAAAATCAAAACAAGGATTTGATGGAAGAACTTACACAGTCCAAATTAGATGCATCGGGAAGTAGTGAGGTATCTTTCACTTTATTACTATGCTGAAGCTCTGAGTTACTTTACATCCTGTGTCTTAAGTAAAAGTAATCTGCCTTATTATTTTATATGTGTATCTATGTCCTTAGTAAATAATGATGTTTTAGTTAATTATAGTCTCACCTATTGCACATATTTCATACTATTTGTAAATTGTACCGTGTCATTGTACATTGTCTCTTTGTGAAATAACCAATTATGCAACATTGAATCATGTTGAAAACTATGCATGTTTGGTCTAGTCTAGCACCAAATAACTGTCTTATTATTAATTGAATTCTGCTACAAAATAGTGCAGATTGTGTTCATCCTTCATTTTAATGTTTTTTTTTACCATTTTGATCTTAGATTTTTTAGAATTTGAACGAGTAGTTTTTAAAGCTGTGATAAGAAATTATAGTGGACAGAAAATTACACAGAATATCAAGAATTTAACAGTAAGGAAAGACGTTCTAGTTTTCTTACTTTGGATCAGATTCAGTGTAATCTGGTTATAAAGTAGATGTATTCAAAGCTATATCCATCTAACAATGGTGGATGTGAAGATTTGGATGTCAAGAGGGAATTTAAAGTTAATGATGGACAAGGGAGGAGACTGAATAAATTGTACAAAATAGAAATGCTTTACTGCATAGTAAAATGCTTAGGAAGGAGCTCAATAAGATTAACTAAAACTGAATTGTAGATGTTTGGAAACAAATGGAGGGGAAATGAATCAAGCTTGTTAGAAGTGTGCCTGCTAAAAGCATTTAGCAAGTGAAAACTACATAGTTTTTGAGGCACACTTCCCTGAAAAATGTTTACAATTAGAGTGGCAATTTTATTGGCCCCATTTTGATAAAGTAAAGCCAAGATATGATATAAATCATGAAAAAAAAATTAATATGAAATAACCAGTTTAAAGACCATCTGTTTTTGACCTTTACCTATCTGTGGGTAACTAATTTCTTTTGAACTCTTTCCAACTACCAAATTCATTTTTAATATGTTTAGAATGAATCGTTATTTTCCACCAGTAACTTAATTCATGTTGAAAGAATCACAAAACTGTGGAAATGTATTGGGGGGGTAAAAATAGGTACTGCCACTCTGTGAATACAGGTGAATAAATTGGAATGAAAGTAAAGTGGAGTAAACTGAACTGTAAACTTCACACACGAAAGAAACTTGAAGATGATTGGCTAGATACACATGAGACAAGGGATGACAAGCCTTCTTCTTAAGCAGAGGTTTCTCACTTTGAAGTCTAAAGTTAAATTGACTAAAAGTGCACGAAATCTCAGCCCAAGGGGCAGTAGAATCTACAACTTAATCATTCATAATGAGGAAATACTGGTTGGCTGGATACTCAGAAGACAAAAGATAACAAGCTTGCTTTTCAAACAGAGGTTTCTCACTTTGAAGTCTAAAGTTAAATTGACTAAAAGTGCACGAAATCTCAGCCCAAGGGGCAGTAGAATCTCTACAACTTAACCATTCATAATGAGGAAATACTGGTCGGCTGGATACTCAGAAGACAAAATATAACAAGCTTGTTTTTTAAACAGAGATTTCTCACTTTGAAATCGGATATTGAACTGATTAAAAGTGTTTGAAATCTCAGCCCAAGGAGTGGAAGCCGTCACTACAACTTAACAAGTCACAGTCAGGTCTTCTCCTGACTCTTATTGGACAATTGTACAGGTGGCTTCACACAAAGAAATACAATGTACCAGTGTACAACTGTTCCATGTGATTCTCAAAATGCCCCAGACTTGCATTCATCCAAGAAATTACAACTTTAAGGCTTTTTTCACATGATTATAACTAATGTTTGGGCTACATACAGAAATAAATTCATTTAATTTACTGATACCTATCGAAGGGTAAAGTTTATTATATGAACCATATATAACTCTTCCTCATTTACCTAAATTTACCATTTAAATCTTTTGAAACTCTAGACATAACCACACGATTCAGAGCACAAAGTCATCAGTTCCAAAATTCCAATACAAAGTCACTATACAATAGTTTACATAGTTGATACATTCAACAAAACCGAATAATTACCATAATTATATAATACTGGGTAAAATACATAAATACCTTCAACACAAATGTAACAGTTGGATGAAAATAATCAATCCAACATAAAGCATATATTAATATAGTCAAATAAGGAACTCAATAATTGGTACAATGCAATACAATACAAGAAACATGAATAAAAATCAATCTGAACTAAATTAGACAAGACCAGCCAACCATAATATAAAATGAAACAATGTCACAGTAAAGTAAAAAAGTAAAGATCTGGCATTAAACATATAGCCAGATATAAAATTTAATAGATAAAACAGATTATAACCTAATCATAATATACACAAAATTTACTGCTTGATAGGTAATAACCAAGCATAAATGATAAAATAAGATATACTAAACATTTAATGCTGTTTTAACAAACTACTTTGAAGCAAATCATATACAAGACAAAAAAAAAGTTAAAATCATTGTTCACTTACCATAACATTTATTTGTTATAGCAAGTAAACAAGTCTAGCTGGTCCTCCATTTGGCAGAGCTCAGTGGTTGCTTTGGACCATGATCCTAACACTAATCTTCTTCCAAGAGAGAAGCACCAAAATATCTGTGTATCATTCTCCATATGAGCTTTGCCCCATCTCCAACAATATTTATGATAACTCTGAGGTTTCTTAATGTATCTTCACAACAATTGGTAAAATTTTGTAAAAGATTACAAGTATTTTGAACACAAAGAATGAGATTATTTTAATTACATATTTTAATTAAAGATTTGTTATTTTTGTATTCTAGTTATTTGCACTCAAACTATGAATATTTTGAGTATTATCATCAACATATTGTGCAGTGAAAGGTTTAAAATTAAGAATAGAAAAAATTTACAAACCTTTGAATTATTCATTGAATAATCTTGAAAATCTTCTTTTGGTTATATTCTTAATTGTAAATTTTTACTTTTTCACATATAGTTTTTTATTTTCCTTATTGAGACACACGTCAACGGGTGTTCTCGGGGTGTACTCAGTATACTCCTTTGTACTGGGTGTACTCCTTTGAAATAAAGGAATTAAAATTTGGATATATAAAACTCTGAACTATAATGTAAATTTGAATGCTAATTTCATTGGTATACATTAATAGTAATATTGCTTAATTAAATTTTGAATGTAATACAAAGTAAAATTTCGTGACATGCACAGTACAGAGATGCCTGTAATAATAGGGTTAAGGAGGTGGTGGAAACATCATTATTTTCAAGGAGAATTTCTTCTAAATGCATATTAGATGGCTAAATCATTCTTTACTGTCTTCACAAACTTAGTTTTAAATATTACAAATTTAAAAGTTAATGCAAATAACATTATCTTGCACAAAATTATCATGCACTACTGTTCCATTTTAAGATGCCCCCTAGTGGCACAGTGGTATGTCTGCAGACTTACAACGCTAGAAACCGGGTTTTGATACCAGTGGTGAGCAGAGCACAGATAGCCGATTGTGTAGCTTTGTGCTTAATTACAAAAAAACAAAAACAAATACCATTTTAAAAACTTCTTTTTGATACTAGATATAGCATTGAATAAGTAACTTGCTTGTAAATTAAAACAACATTTTAAGTACTACTCATTGGTCAAGTCAAGATTTTGTTTCTAATAATTAACCTAAAAGATAATTTCCACTGGCAGTAGTAATCTGTCAAAATTGACCCAAAATATCAGAAACTGATATGAACTGAAATCCTCAATTTACGTATGTTTCATCATTATTATAAAATCCTTTAGCATAATTGAGGGAAGTGTTGTTATGATACAAATGTGTATGAAGATAAACCAGAATTAGCTTGATACTTTTTAAATCAAGATATTGGTACTAATAAAGTTGATAATCAACAATTTTCCTTTTATTTTTCAGTATATGTGTTCAAAGAAACTGCTGCTTCATATTATATAGCACATTCATTCCATTTGTAAACATTTTCATTCTTGATTGGAGGATTCTTTTCAATATAGTCAATGTTATATATAAAAATCTACACTAAAAAGTTTTTGTATATAGTAATTTACCATTAACTAAGTACAGTTTAGTACTAACCTCCACTGTACGTGCCATGCTGTTTTACTCATGTAAAAGTTCTACAATCAGGAAAAATGCAGAAAATGTAATAAAATGTGTTGGAAGACCTTTATTTCTAGACCTTAAAGACTAAGGTGGAAATGAGTTGAAACCTGGTCCTTCTAGCATTTTGTCTTTAGGTTACCTGTCAAAAAATATATGTTAATTATTATGGTCTCCAAGCTACACCTCTCAAACAGCAGTCACAAATTTATGAAACTATTATTTCCTGGTATTTTATTTGCCGAAAATATTGAACTTTTCCCAGATTATTACATAAAACCTTGGTGTCCATAATTAAATACATACATTTGCTCTGGGTAAACTATATATTTATTGTGTTACTATCTGCTTGAGAATATAAAATAATAACCCTAAGGAATTTCACAGAATTTATGCTAAGAACTGATGCTATAAATGATTGAAAACGTTATTTATATTAAATTAATATTATCTCATAAAAATAAATACTCTTATTGATAAATTTTTACCTTTGTGTAAATGCAGTTTACTTGCATATGAAAACTAATTTTATTAACTAAACATGTTTTCCTCAAAAATAACAGAAATTAGATTATTGATATATTTTGTGAATTTGTGTTAAATTTGGTAAGTTTCATTTTTTAAATAACTATTGAAATTATTTGTATATTTTCTTCTTCAAGAAATTTCACAAACATACTGATAAGATTCTAGTGAATTTGTTTGAAAAAATGAACTTTAAAAAATGCATTTGGTCTTGAATTTGAGTGTGCATAATGAGAATTGTAATTAACCATTGAATCATAGCAATTCATAATTATATTAGTCTATGGTATTTATAACCTACATCTTCCTTGCATTATTTTGACAGACTGATGGATGGCGGTATAACTCTTCAAAAAAACGACAATTTGATGCTCTTCTGCAAGAAAACTCTGAGCTCAGTGTTAAAGTTCGAACAATGGAAATTGAATTAAAAAGGAAAGATAATGAGTTGCAAGGGGTGAGTTTTCAATTAAATAATTATGTACAAATATTTGTATATTACAGGCCCTACATTATTTAACACTTTTCACTTTTTCATATTCTCCCAATTTTTACTACTGGGTTAAAGAAGATTTTGGAAGCAAATTTAGAAAACATTGCTTTCAAAGAAAGACTTCTGAATGAGGAAGTATAAAGTTTGAAATGGTAAAACACAGTAATATTGTCTTCTTCTGTTTCAATTAGTGTTAAATGTTATCCATTAACAGTTGTTTTTGGATATAGCTGGACTATTCCATATGCATATGTGCACAGGTTTTTTTTTTTTGTTGTTGTTGTTTGGGCATGACATCTACATGTGCAACCTGTATAGCTATAATGTATAGTCATGGTGATCAGGCTGAGTATGACTGATAAAGGAGGGCATAGTTCAGACAGTAGCATCAGTCGTATAAAGTATTTTGGTATTTCTCGCCCCCCAGTAGCACAGCAGTATGTCTGCAGACTTACAACGCTAGAAACCGGATTTAGATACCCGTGGCGGGCAGAGCACAGATAGCCCATTGTGTAGCTTTGTGCTTAATTCCAAACAAACAGTATTTCTCTGACATTTTCATATATCATATCTAGAGAAATCCAGAAATTGATCTTAATGTTTCCTCTAAAGCTATTGGGAGACTTGCCAATATCTCCCTTATCTCTTTTAGATCATTCATATTATAAGTATTTCCACTAACATTTTGTTAGTATCAAAACAGATGACAAAGTATGAAATATCCTAAACTATAATGTTGTAGGTTTTGGAATTAGAGACCTTAAGATAATTAATGCTAACTAACCAAAAAATTACAAGATTAATTATAGTGTATTGTACTATTATTACGAAAATGGCAAAGTGACTTCTAAATAAATATATATACACACACACACATCTTTTTTTCTGTAGTATAACTGATTAGATTCATTACCTTGTAATGAATGGTAATTGTAATGGTAATTGTTTAATTTTTTTCTAAATCTCTTTAGAACAATCCATGACTACTAGCAATTTTGTAAGTAATATTTTAACAAGATCCTTTATTAGATTCAAATTAAAGACTTGTGATAAACTTCAGTGTTAAAACTTTTACTGCTATTGTAAACTATGTCCAAAATCTTGCTAGATTCATATATCTTTACTTTTAATGTAATGTTAGCATGTTCAGTATTGAAATATTGCTCAAACAAAGATATATAATTTATTTTTGAAAATGATAAAAATATCATAAACTCACTTTGTATAATAAAATGGCTTCAAAATATTTGGTCACTCTTTTAGTCACAATTTTTAATGAAAAAAGCATAACAACAAGATGGCCATTATTAGTGCCAACTTGGAATCTTTAGTAATTCTATCAATCAGTGCACTGAAAATTATTGCAAATTTGCAGATGCAGTGCTTTCCATTCTTGTCGAAGTTTTAACAAGTTTAGCTTGTTAAACATGAGGGAAAGAGGTGTCAAAGTGGAAAAACAGCACTACTCAATGCATATGAGTCAATACTTGAATAAACAAAGAAATTACACAGTTGGGAAGAGTATGTATATAAAATTCCTTTTTGTAATAACAAGAATTGCAGAATATTTTGAAGATAGAACACAACCTGAGATTTGTCCCTTTGTTCTTGTCAGCTTAATTAAAAAGTCAAGTTACAGAAGTATCTTAGGATATGCTATAGTATAAATGGATAGTGAATAATTCTGAAAATATAAAAATTACTTTAGTTAATTAAAAAGTTACAGTGACATTGACCTTACTTGTACACGTGCCTGTTACAAGTTAGATGCTTTCTGTGTTGTAAGTTTTGCCATTTAGTACAACTTGACCCAGGAAGAAACCAATCCCAGCTAAGAAGCAGTGAGGGAAATTATATCATAGTTGTGTTTTCAAACATATGTTGGACTAACTCAACAGGATGCAATTTGATATAGAACAAAAACAGTAGGGCTTTGTAGAATTTGTGATGTCTCATTGAATATCCTTCATAAATAGACAATATTGAATATCCACTGCATTAATACCTGGGTATTTATCTATGATGAACCAGCTTCTTTTAGTTTAAAGAATCAAATTTTTGTGATTGAAAGTGTGTCAAGAAAATGCCTTACCTAAGTAGATATATATATATATATATATATATTAGTGTATCAAAACACATTTTATCTTCTGTCCTCAGTACAAACAGCTGTTACGGATTACAATTTCGAATGGTTTAAAACCAAACTAAATGATAATTTAAATTTAACAGTTAAATATATGCCGATATATCTCCAGTTTATGATATTTGCCAACAAGATTGATACACACACAGTTTTCTTTATTAACACACAATGATTTATATACAAAAATGTTACAAACTTACAAGCAATATAAAGTCTTCTTTCTAGTCTGGAACTTCCTTGATATCTTATTGAGAGTTCACAATGAGCAAGTTAATTACAAGTTGATGTAGGTACAGTTCGCTTACTGGGGAGCTAGTTTGCTGTGTCCTTTGTTATTCACCAGCCACACACGCTGAGTTTTCCACTGTGAAGTTATATAATGATTTTGTAAAAATACTAATGTCCGATGAGAATCCACTGAAGTTAAATTATTTGTAATGTTCGAACTTTGTAAATGCTCTTGGTCAAATATCAGAAGTTTTCTGATTGATAAGCATTATAATAATCACAGTTATAGCTTCCAAAGCTTATAGCACACTGACTGTAGCAAATAGATACCATTTTTTGGCACATCACATTGGTTATATTTATAGGAGTGTGGAGAGTATCTTGAAAATTCAGATTATGTAACAATACTAACACGCTATACTAGAGTTTATGCGCGCACATATTTTGTTGATTCTTATACTCGAGAATCTTCTATAACTTTAGAGAATAGGTGGGAGTTTTGCACTACATATTTAACAATATATGCTATGCATATTTCTAAATATGCATTTAATCTAAACAAACCTTGATATTAAAATAAATATATAATAATAAATCAGTCGCACAGCCCAGTTAATTTTGACAGGATTTCAACATAATCACATGTATGGTCTATTAAGAGTGGTGAGCTGCAGATTATATGCTTTTGTATGTTTTTCATAAACATAAAAAACTGTATACATACAGCTTTGGAAATATGTAACAATTCTGCTGTGATTAAATTCAGATTTCAACAAGTAATGAAACAATAACATTTTTGAAATTTGTATACTTATCTCATTTTGAAATGAATCTGAAATTTGAAATAAAAGGAAATCTTGTTTTAAGAGTATTTTAGACAGTATAAACACTGTAGAGTTTGAACTTTAATGGACTGTTCCCATCTCTTTCTGGAGTGGGATGATGTTTCAGCTTGCACTTTGACCTGAAAAAGGCCTCAGTATAGAAGCTAAAATGCAAGTTTTTAATTAAGAAGAAACAACCTGATGATTCATACTTTCAAACTAAGATTACTTAGAAGAAAACAAACAAGCAAGAACTTATGTTCATCTACATTCTCAATAGTCCCAATTTCATTGTTAAATCAAAATATTCATTCATATTATATAATATATTTTAAAAGTTTAGGCTTTTGCAGTAAAAAGTTGTAACTTCTAAAAGTACTTATTACCAATAAGGAACCTGAAATGAAATTATTCATATTATATAATAGCTTCAGCAAAAGCTTTTTACAGTTTCTTTCTTTAAGGCTCTTAACTCCAACCTATTTTGTCTCAACAGATTATCTGCAGTTATAAATCTATAAAATTTAAATTATTGTTTATACTTTTTTAAAACAATATATGGCATTCACAAATGTACAAATAATAAGATACAAGAACAAAGTCCTATGGAGCAAGACTTACTTCTAGGTTGAGTTTTGGCTTTAATGGTCTCTTTCTGGAGTGAGATAAAAGTGATATTTCAGTGATTGAAACAAATATTTCAGTTATGGATACATATTATAACCACCAATATCTTTGTGTATATTTAATTGTAATTTTACAGTTCATTAGTTTGTTTTGTCAATTTTCTTTATGTACATTTGAAAGTGTGAAAAATTTCAAATAACACTAAAGCAGTTAAAGTAAATTTTTCATTTATGGTTTGCAGTAGAAAATATTCTTTTTTTTTGGCAAAATTTTGGTAGCAATGTGAGAGAAGTATAATTTCACATCGTAAAACCATCTTTTAAAAACAAACTTTTTCTTTTTATATAGATCAAAAACTTTCAGAGAGAACAGAAAGAGAACCAAGTTTTACAACAAAAATGACATTCATATGAGATTAAACTACTACAGTTCTCACACCACTCAGGAATTTCGAGTCATCATTCCATCTACTGTTTGAAATCTCAAACTGTTTTAGTTTTACATTACAGAGCATTGAGAATGTATAGAAATAAGTTATGATCTCATTATACTTTTAATTTATATTAGATGCTTCATGACCATGTCTACTTAATGTAAGATAAGCCAAACTATTCGGAAATGAAAGTACAAGGGACTTTCTGCCAAAATGTTAGATTTTTTATTTTCAAACCTTGAATGCCAATTAACAATTTATTAAACTGTCTTAAAATATTTCAAATAGATGATATGATAATCTATAAAAATTATGTTTAATTTAGTTATTTTTATTCATACACAAATGCAAACTCCTTAATCAGGTCAAAGAATGCTTTAAGACTGATGTATAAGCTCACAAGGAATGAACTATACTGTGCAGGCCAATTGACTTATAAAATGAATCTCATAAACATATGTTTAATACTCGGCCCAAACGCTCTATATGTATTATACATTATTTTCTTTTTCCACCTGGTTTTATAGCAGTTGATCCCTAAAATAGATGAGTAACTGAGCTTTCTTCAGTATTTCGTTTATTAATACTTACTGAAGTGCATGTGTCCATCTCCCAAAAGGTTGTCCATAGAGCCTATTCTTTTTACTACGATACATGCATGTTTCCTTTATTAAATGTATTTATTCTTCCATGCTACTTTTTCCTTTTTCTTCAGATCCATCCATCTGTGCATTAGAGTTGTTTGCTCATGCTTTTATAGTCAGGCATGTATCTTTGATATCTTTTATTCTGAATATTGTTAAATGCATATGTTTTTTATATCTTAACTGTATTCAACTGTTCTTAATATTTGAAGATTCATTCTCCAAAAAATATGGTGATCCAGGAGATCTTTTTAAGGTTTAGTGATAGCTATTATTTATAGTTTTCAAAATATATCTGTGTATGTAATTTGTATTACTTTATTTTGTTTTCAACACAAAATGTGTTCAGAACAGTATAAAAAGTGTACATTTTACAAATTTATGTAATTGCTATTTTAATAGAAGAACTAGTTTGAAAATAATATTTGAAAGACTTGTAAAAGTCTAAATGAACACATTTTTTATAATGTCTGAATTTAGAGAAGTATCTATGAGTTCTCAAGTAAGTGATAAAGTGTATTAACCCTGAAAGGTTTTACAAAATCAAGTCACAGGAACTGTAGAATTAATATAAGTATTTATGAATCCATGAAATTTACTCTTGAAAAATGTTTTTCTTACTAGACTGGTGGCAGATAAATGTGGTCAAGAAAATAACATTAGGTTGCTAAACTGTGTGAAATAGGTCTAAATTTTTAATAGTGTTCATCACACCAAATTTTAGTTATTGAAATTAGTCCATTTTTATGTAATTGGTGATTTACTTTAAATTGACTTATATTTTTTACTTCATTAAACTTATGTTTTCAACCTAAACTTCATGTTTTACATTAGTAACTCCCTTCTATCAGATAATATTATTTTTCCTAAATGTCTTTTTTTTTTCAATATTGTTTTACTATAGCACAAGGCAAGTTTGACAACTGTGTAGCAGTTTATTAGTCAGATCGTGTTAATATTACATTTTAAACCTACATTCCAGGTCAAATGGTTATTATGGACAATTTTTGGCAATACAGTTTTAAGTGTCAGTTGACAAATCTGTTAAAAAAGCCACATTTTTTATAACATTCCAGTTCAGAAGTTTTATTCCTACCATGGCTTTTATTGAATTAGTTTAAATGATAATTTTATTGTGCCTAAATCTCTAACAACCAGAGAGTTTGTAATATCTTGTAATAAAAAAGTTCAGATGCTCAATACTAAATGTTCTTCAGTCGGTGGATTTTATTGCGATTCAAAATTGGTAACAAATGAGAATTGAATGTGGTAGTTGCATACCCAAAGTACTTTGTTTAGTCACATTAGTTTTAATTACTTATACTATGTTAAAACGTGATAATACCCAAAAATGATGCTCTGGTTTCTTTCACATTGTTTAATCACTTCAGAGCTCCTTTAGTCAAGTACATAATCTTAATGTAAATTCACTGTTATTCATAAAATTATCATGTCATGATACAGTTTAATATTTCATTGTGATATAAATTTTATTAAAAACTAATGTAACCTGTTAAGCAAGGAAAACATGTGTTCTAAAAACAAAATTATATTTATTGAGTAATGTGACCATGCTGTAGACTTCTCAAGAGTCCCAAGTATTAATTTTTGTTATTTCTATTTTACTTTAGAACCTCTAAATTTTTCCTTTTTATTTCTTTAGGTAATAAGATTCAACAAAGATATAGACTTTTAGTTTTAAATCATTATTTTTCTGAACTATTGCAGTTTGTGTATTTTTTTTAAAGATGATTCCTTCCAGTAATTTTGTGCAATTTCTTTGTACACGTTTGCACAAGAAATGTCTGTGATCTTTTTTTAATGGATATTTTGAATCATTTTTACACCAACTGTGTATAGTTACTTGGGTTATTAAATTATTCATTATTATGGCGATATAATCATTATGTAATAATATCTATAATGCAATTTTAAATTACCATTTACTAATAGACTGAGAACACTTCCTGTTATTGAAATTTGCAAACTTAGTTAGTGAGACTAGTGTTGTTGTTTTTTTCACTTTGAAGGTAGGGTGCTTTCAAGCTGATGTTACTGCATACCATTTTTTTCTATTTCCTTTTTTTTTAGGATAACACATTCTGCAAAGTAAAACAACCCTAACTGGTTCAGATGTAGACATGAGAGCTTATAGTGCTAAAAATTGAGCTTTGATACCTGTGATGGACAGAGCAAACAGATAGCCCACTGTATAGCTCTTTACTTAACAACAAACATACAAACAAAAACAAAGTAAAGAATTCACAAAATATTTAAATACTATATACTGTGAAGCTATTCAAAGCAAGCCCATGTCTCCATATTAAAACAGTTCCTAATATGTACTCTTCCTCAATGTCAGTTACCCACGTGTCATGAGGCATATAAAAATTTCTTGCAGTAAAAGTAACTTCCAAATCACCTCTTTTTGGAACTTTCTATCCACTTACTGTTCATATCAATCCTCTTTTTTCATCAACAGCACAGGAAGCAATTCCCACCTTTTAATACCAAATAAGGTTGAACTATTGTAGCTATAGTACTAGTGTCAATCAACATACTACAAGACTTTCTGTCAATAAACCCATTGACTCATGGACTACTTTCTTTAAATAATGAACTTCTTAATTCATTTGAGATAGATGGAGTATTCCCAGCTGAAATTTGCTGAATAAATCCAGTGAATTCCTGGTTCTTGATGTCTGGTTGGCTCTTTGATCTGGTTGGGCGCAAAGATGTATACTTTGGTTATTGACTCCTTGACTTATTAAAAGCTGTTTATTCCTTACAGTCTTGTTTATAATGGCCAGGTGTCACACATCTATAATAATTCACTCTTTCTGTTATACTTTGGAAGTTCTTATTGAATTATACAGGCTTTTACTCCAGTTCCAGACAGTATTTCCTTTCAATTTATATTTGAAACATCTGTTGTCTTATAAATTACTTCGACCTAATATTTTCCATTCTTCTAGACTATCGTTAGGGTGAGTTTATGTTTCAAAATTATTCCATCTCATGAACCCATAATTTTTAGATCAAACCTTTAATTGTTCATCTATAACTTTAATGGATTCAAGTTTCATCATTAACTGCAGACCTTCCTTTAAAGATGTACACTTACTTAGCTTCAACTTAATTCTCATATCCTGATCTGTTATGGCATCTACAACTTATTTATGTTCCAACAAATCCATCATTTCACATGGAGCATCTGGATAAGATAACTGAGCAAGCATTTCCAAATCTTCCACATGTTCAGCTAAGGTCTCTTCTTTCCTATTTACCCATTTCCAGGAGCTTGCTCGAGATATTTCGCTGTGATATGTTACTCCAAATCTGTTGGCTAAGGCAGCTTCCAATGCTTGATGGCAGTTAGGGCTCTCAGTTGGAAGATTACTTAATATTGTTAAAGCTCGTCCTTTAAAATGGGCAACAAGATGAATAGCTTGTTGTTCACTCTTCCTTCCATTCACTCTGTAAATTACTTCGAACTGAGCCTCCTATGGTACGGTTCAGTCATAATCTATTGGTTTCTCATTTGGGCAATGTTGTGGAACTTTCTGGATAAGTTCTGGAACTGAATTTAGTAGTGGCATGGCTGGAGTAGACCAGGAAGGTCCTGCATTAACAGATGGCAAAGTAGTAGTTGTAATTGGTGTAGATTTTTTTACATTGTCATGAACTCTCTAGGAATAATTTTATATGTTTTCTAGATCTTCAGTCATCATTATAGAATATTTATGAGGGTCGTCACCATAATTAGCAGCCCCTTCTAGTAAATAACTAAAAATACAGCTTACAACAACAGCATTATCTCTTGTATAGAATTCAAATTTTTTATAAAATAGAGACATACAATTTCTCCCCTCACAATGGTTCAACTGTAAATCTGATGGCTTATAACGCTAAAAACTGCATTTGGATACTTCTGGTGGGCACAGCATAGATAGCCTATTCCTTAGCATTGTGCTTAACAACAAACATACATACTGCTGTAGGCCATATTTTGAATGGTTTATTCACTAGAAAAAGATATTTGTGTGATATAATGATTGCGTTATGTGTACAAGTTTCATGAAATTTTAGTCCCTATACTTCTTGAATGTTCATACAATACAGTACAATATAAAAACTCCAGACTGAGCAAGTTATAATTAATCAGTTCACTGTCACTTATTGGGTTCACTGATAGTTAGTGGCTTAATTATTCTAATTACGAGTATTTCATCATTTGATTAGCGAGAGAAATTTGCAAGAGACTTCATTTATATTTGAGCAGAGTTTATGTTGAAATATTGTTTGTGAAGTTCGGCCTACCAGTGGTTGTAGTCTGTATAAAACGTTATTGAAGAAACGAATGAATTGGTTAACTGGACTGGATTTCACATTATATTTTCAACAAATAATCCAAAAGAACCTGTCCAACGAATACGTTAGAAAAATACTGTTACGTCTGTGTTCGTTTGTTAATTTTTCGTAGGAATTC